CATATAGATTTTTTTTTTTACTTTTTGTCAAATTTTTCTTTGATTAGCACTTAAAACACAATCATTGAAATTGAAAACTTTTTTATTGATCTTTATTTTACATTTTGTAAAATTACAAAAATAAAAACTTCTTTTCTTCTTCTGATGTTTTCTGAAAACAACTATAAAGCTGGCACTCGAAAAGCACATTGTATGGAAAAATAAATGTTTATTTCTCGTTCTACTTTTGACCTTTTTTTTTCTTCTTGAAATTTCAGAAGTTGGGTGAAATATTTGTAAATATATTATATTTGTAGATTAATACAATTATCTCAATGTAACACAACTTTTATTAAATGGCATTTTTTTAAAAGTAATTTTGTAAAAGCCTAAATTATCTAATGTCTTGAAGGGGTGGTAAGAGATTAACAAATAGTCAATTAAAAAAACTAATCGTAGATTAATTAATTAACAAACAATTATTCAATTAATTTAAAATGCTATAATTTTTATACTATTGTTTTATTAACACTTTTTGCGAATATTAACAACTGTTTTCACTTTTCCGGTACCGGTAAAAAATTTTAAATAAATAACACAATGCGATTGTATTTTTCGTTGGAAAATAAAGCGAAATCATCATACAAATGCAAACATTGTTCATTCGAATTAAATTCCATTTATCAACTTAATATATCATCTAGAGCACAAACATAAAATATATCTGACCAAAATTGTTTTAGGAAAGACAAAAAATTCACAGTCAAGTGTTGCTGCCTATTTTTGAGTATCGCTGAGCATTCTTGTCAATGATAATGTCATTTCTGATATCTGGTTTCTTAAAATCAAAGTAAAAATTTCCTCTTAATAGGGGTATTTCATAAGTTATATATATATATACATATATATATATATATATATATATATATATATATATATATATATATATATATATATATATACAGGCTTCGGCAGGAATGACGGGCTATAGCCCGTGTCCGTCTCCGCACCCGTCCAAGTCAGTTTAGACGGGCGAAATAAAGCCCGTCTGAAACATAAGTTTTGTGTAAAAAAAATGAATATTTTGATGTTTTTTTATTAAGATACTCTTTTAAAACTTCTCTCATGACATAGTTTTAATATAGATAGCAAACTCCAACTTATAATTGTTTATATTTAAATATAAAAATTAAACAATTTAATCATTATTGTATAACATGATGTAGAAAATAATATAACTAAATCTTACAGTTTTTTAAACGACGATAACTGTTTGATATAATACCAAACAGTTACCATATCATGTTCAAAATTTAATAACTATTATATTAAATAGGGAAATATACACATGTGATGCACAAGAAGTATCATGTTGTTTTGGTTTTTCAATGTTTATAATAATAACGATAATAAACTAATTATCCATGTATTTCGCTTTTTTCCGATAAACTAATTTGTCTTACTTTAAAGACATTTAAAGTGATATTTCCGTGTTAACTTCACGTTTTTTCTTAAAGCGACGGCAGTTTATTTAATATGCAATTATATAACTCGTTATTGAAAATGAAATATCTCATTAAAAATCAACAAACGTCTAATCAATTTTTGTAGATAATATAAATAGTGTTGCTTTATAGTTATGAAGTTATTCAAGTTATCCAGTCATTCAAGTTTTTCAAGTTATTCAAGTTTTTCAGTAAAGATAGTAATAGCATCATCTGGTAGAAGAGTTACATTAGCAACATTTTTGAGTTGGCGTAATGATGGAGTCTGTGGAAAAGAAACTGAGGTGGAGAATGGAACAATTTTTGTTGTGAAGATATGGTGTATGGTTTGTATAAAATATAAAAAAGAATTGCTTCGCAAGTTAAAAGGTCTGGCAAAATCAAAAGCATTAGCATTTATAGAGGGCACTACGAACGTTAAAGCTAGCAACATACATACGCTTATATACATGCTTATATTGTATATAAAGTAACGGAAGCCCCGGTATCTTAAGAAATTATTAGTACTTCTAAATAAAAACTTATTTTATTAAAAGAAATTAGATTTCAAATTTTTTATTCACGTATCAGAATAACTATTTCCGATCAGGATAGGCATAGGTAAAGCAAAGTTATAAAAATATAAATAACAGTTTAAGTTTTTAATTTGCACGCCCAATAGAATGCAAGAGTATATAAATAATTGAATTTGAAAAATAACATAGTTACGTATCATATTACCAAGCTAATACCAAACAATTCTAAAACTATCGAGCTCATTGATTCAAGGTTACAAAAAAAAAAGATTTTTTTTTTTGTAACCTATTTGCTGAATAATTAAAAAAATTAGATTTTGAAAATATTATGTAATATTTTTATTCACAAAGAATAAGAGAAACGAATGAACTAAAAAAGCACGATAAAAACCTGTATAATTTAATCGAATACTTGAATAAAACAATAATATATAAATATACTCAAAAAGACTTCGGTAAAAAAACACATTAGGATGCTTGAATAAGGAAACGTGATGAAACGCCATGGTTGTTTCGAGGATTTTTCCCGTCGTTTTCACGTTCATTCGTTTGACTATATCTGCCAGATATTATCTGGAATAAAGATTAAAAAAAAAACATAAAAAACTGAATAAAGTTCCTTCGAGTAAGAAATCTAAACAAAAGCAACCATAAAACAACTAACCCACGTGAAACGAAATTAGATCTGTGCAAGTGAAAACTTTAAAAAACAATTATTGAAATCTTAGTTTTAAGTATTATCCAACTCATTTACTGCAGTGTTTTAATTACTTAAGTAATTAAGCATTTTAAACAGTTAATCGCTTTCTAACATATTATTTTAGTGCAATTCACAAAATGTTTAATATTCAATGACATTTTCATTCAAAAAGAAGAAGAGAAATTAACAAATTTAAAAAAAAAAAGTTCAAATTTTAGAATTTTTTTTAAAGTTTAAAAAAGCCTGTGCAAGACCATCTAGACAGGCGGCCCTCATAGCCCGCCAAGTCTATTTAAGACGGGCTTTTCATAGCTCGTACAGTTTTTATTCCTGCCGAAGCCTGTATATATATATATATATATATATATATATATATATATATATATAATATACATATAACCATCAACTTATGACAAAACGCTTATTAATTTGTAAAACAGTTTTACTAACACAAACTCATGACTGTATTACATAACTAAATGATAGAGTTAAATAGCCTGAGGTCTTTGATTTTTTAAATGTCCATATAAAGCGGTGACATGACTATTTTCTAAATTTATTTTTTTTAATCCTTTTCTAAAGGTTTCACGAAAACCTTTTTTATTGTTTTTTTTTTTAATTTTTCTGGCAAATGTAGTAAATAAAACGTTCCCAGTAGGCACGGTACGTTTTGAAAACGTTCTCTAGACCCTTTTTATCAGGTTTAAACCTAACAAAAACGTCCGGAAAACGAACATTTCCCACTGTGTTTAAATATTTTCAATAATTGTACTGAAATCCTGCATCTATAGATTAGTCATTTAAGTAACTTATGTTACGCAAATAAAAAGTGTTCAACAAAAAAAAAAATATAGATGCAAAAGTCTATATTCGGATTAGTTCCAAATGTAAATAATTTGTTTTATTAGTTTATAGAATTTATTTTAATATTATGAGGATTTTATTAAAAATAGTTTAGAAAATGTGTATTACACAAAACAAAAACAACTAACGCTACAATATGTGTATTGAAATATTGAAATAACTTGAAAAATTTACTTTTAAGTTTAGGAAATAGTTTTTTTTATTTTAATAATGTCATTAGAAGACTTCTGTAATTATTTTTTATTTGGGTCAAACAACGCAATCACTACTAACAACACCAACATCAAAAACAATAACAGTTTTTGGTAATATTTTATTTAACTACTAAACATTTGAAAATAGTAATTATATTCACCGATTAACCTTGTTATATAGTGTCAAAATATAAGTATATTATACTAGTTGACGAGGATAATTATACAACAAAAATATTTAAACTATTTTGACGAAAACTTATATGACGTTACTATTAAATAAGTTTTTTTGTTTTTATATTATGCGCTTTTTTATGTCTTCTCTTTTATTAGCGTTTTGTTTTTTTTTGTTACTTTCTTACATCAAAATAAGTTAAAGCATCGGATTTTAGTATATAAACTAATCTTATTATTTGTTTACATATGCTTTTGGTTTTTTACCTTTTTTTGTTTATTCTAATAAGTTTTTTATTTGTTGTTTATTTTCAAAATTTTCAATAAAGTAACAATAATAACATAAAAAAAAAATAGAATTTAGTTACAATTCTTTGCCATAAGTCCTAAATAAAAATATCACATTAAAAAAGATATTTAAAAATACAGGATATACTCCAGTATTGGAATCATCAAAATCCTTCAACAAATAATTACTCAAAACAACGTCTCGACTTTGCCACAACTTATATCCTAGAGCCTATAAGTTAATATGTTCAATAAAAAAAAAAAAAATTAATGAAAAAAAGCTCAAGTTTAGAAAACGCATTTGCCAACATGAAAGACATACCTTTGAAAATAGAAAATAAAAAATTATCAGTGGCTCAGCAATCCAAGAGCCGCAATGGTATTTATGTCTTAAATTGGCTTATAAAACATCCCTAAAGAAGAAACAGACTATTTTGAGATAAAGGTGAATAAAAATAAGATTATATACTAAAAACAGATGTTTTAACATAAATTTGTTGTATAAAAACTTATATAGATGGTAACTTTTAGAAGTTGTTTTGTTACTTTTTCTAATAACCTGATTAACTACCAGATTAGGTCAGCAAAATATTGATAATATACTATTTTTCAAAATAAATTTAGAAAATAGTTAAATGTCGTCTTTTTTTTCGAAATCAACGTACATCTTATTTATAAATTGTAAAACGAGAAAATGACTTTTGAAGATATATATTTATGTATTAATTTGTATCAGTAAAAAATATAAAAATTTAGTAGTTTTTAATTTTATTTTTTACAGTGTGCACTGATTATCAATTTCAATGCTCTAATGGTGAGTGTATTCCACTGTATTGGAAATGTAATGATCGCCAGGATTGTTCGGATAACTCAGACGAAGATACATTTATTTGCAGTATAGTATTTGTTTTCTATCATAAACTGAGTAAAATAAATTATATGACTAATGACCATTTTAATTAATGACCAAATACCATTGTTTAAAATATTTTTGTGTCAAGTTTTTGTATCACTGAAATTCTGTTTGAATGATTCTTTAAATTTAATAACTTTTTTTATTACTATTATAAACACTTGATTATTGTGAATATTCGAGTTTTTTATAACATTTATCTAGAAATGAGTTTTTGTGAAAGCAAAGTTAAACTTTCATTTCATGTAGTTTCAAATATGATACTAAATCAACTTACTTGGCATACACACATATATAGTTCTAAACCTACAATTGCATTTTTTATTTACTTTTCTAAATAATATTTGAAGCTGGAAAACGAAAGGGTTTTCCAAGTCTATACTTCCCAAATGCAACTTTAGTAAACAATTTTTAAAATGGTGTTTTCATTGGCAAACTCGTTTTATACATTAACCTATTATATAGTTTTATATGCATTAACCTATAGTTTTTACTGTAAAAAACATTTTGTGATTCTTGGGTAAGTAGTTTACAATTTATATTAGCTAGTTCAGATAAACATAGAATTATACTGATCTTTTAAGCTTTGTTGCTAAATTACCACCTTAGGCACTACTATCATTAGAAATGAAAAAGTATCGAAAAAAGTTAAAAATCTTATACTAATAAAATCATCAGCATTGTGTTTAGTAAAATCTAAAGTAAACAATTAAAAGTAATTTTTATGTGAATTTATAATTTAGAGTGCACATTTTTTTAACTGGTGTGATTTTTGCCCTTCTTGCTGCACTTTTAGCATGATATTGTCTTATTATTTGCAGTTTAATGCCGAGTTCATTACTGCCTTTTCTAAGTCTAGCAATACTTGATGATTCCATAAGTAACGACTTTAATAACAGAATGATAATTGTGCAACATTAGATTGTTATAAGTATTAAAGAATATTTTTTGCTTTATCTATATAATTTTTTATTTTTTAGGATTTCAAAAAAATTCGAAAACCTTTAACACAGTAAGAACTACTAGCTTTACTAGATAATTTAGATAATAATGAGGATGACTAAGAAAGATCTGATAATGATCGAGAAGATGTTAAAGATGATCTACAAATTGATAGTGAAGATAGCTTTGACAGTAGGGTTGACTCTATGATTTCTACACAAAATCTTGAACCACATGAAAAAACTTTACAATCTAGAACAAGTATCTTTACATTTTTCACTTAAACATCACAAAAAATTCAAAGAGAAATATACTTTAGGTAAAAAAATAATTATAGTGGACAATGAAAAACTTAGATTTAAAGTTGTTGTCATTGCCTTATTACTTTTTATGTGAACTGACAACTCCTTTTGAGTTTTTCAAATATATCTTATATAATAATTTTATAAATTTTCTTTATCAACAAACAAGCTTAATTCAAATAATCCACTGTCTGTCATCAACTTTTGGTGTTACAAACACAAAAGTATTTATTGACATCTTACAGTAAATGTTAGTGGTCTCACTACATTAAAAGCGACTCTTTGTGATCCTTAAATTAGAATTGAAAAAATTATATCAGCAAATGGCAACAAACAAATTTGAAATCTTGAAAGTATGCCATTGTTCAATGACAACAAAATCCTTGATAAGTCACGTCAACTATATAAATTTACACAAAATCAGACTACTAATACTTAAACTGAACAAAAAAATCAAATAATATTGAACGAAAGTTCAACATGATTTGAAGCAATATATGACTCTTAAGCAAAATAAATGTAGCTACCAAGTTATTTGTGGTATGCAGGCCATCAGGATTTGTATATAATTTTATAATTAACACTGGACCAGAAAATAATTTCAAAAAAAAAAAAGAATAATGAACCAGACTTAGGTGCTGGAAGAATTGCTGCTCTCAGACTATCCAGGGTAAAAATATGTTCAAAAACTGTCGTCTGTACTGTCATTAATGTTATATTACATATATATATATATATATATATATATATATATATATATATATATATATATATATATATACATAAATAAATATATATATATATATATATATATATATATATATATATATATATATATATATATATATATATATATATATATATATTATATATATATTTATTTATATATATATATATATATATATATATATATATATATACTTAAATTTATATATATATATACATATATATATATATATATATATATATATATATATATATATATATATATATATATATATATATATATATATATATATATATATATATATATATATAATATATATATATTTAAAAGAAAAACACCTTTTTTTCTCTCTATTATTAAAGTTTCATTACTGTAGTTATTAGAGTTTTTTTATTACATTTATCTAAAAATGCTTTTTTGCAAAATAATTTTTATATAATCCGTAAAATTAAATCTTATAATGTTATTTTAATCAACTTGTTACTTGTTAACTTTATACAATATAAAATACTGTTGAGGATTAACGCCATGTTAAATGTTTTACAAAAAAGAAAATTAAATGTCCTCAAATATATTTAGTTTAGCTTTAAATAAGTTAAGATTTCACTTTCACTGTTTCAACTGGTGATTTCTTTTTAATTAGAAAAAGCAAATTCTTTTAATACAAAAAGAAAAATTTGGTTGTCTCCTTTAAATTCTGATTTAAAACATTTATTTAAGGTCGTAAATGGAAGGAAATTATAAGAATTATATTCAAAACATGATTAGTTTTGAAAAGTGTTTTAGCAACAGAAAATAAAACTTGTAAAACTAAAATATTTATATTAAAATTATTTTCAAAATTTTTTTAAATTTAGGTCGCAGTTACTCTTATTTTTATATTGTTGATAAAAAATATTTTTATTTTAGGTCAAACGACGAATTTACCAACCAAAAGAAGAGCAGGAATTGGTAACATTTTATTTAACTGCTAAACATATTTAAATTGTAATATTATTCACCAAATAAGCTCGTTAATTGTTGTCATATCATATCTATATAATACAAGATGACGAAGATACTCGTAAAACGAAACTTTGATGCCCATTTTTTAAAAAAACATAGCTGGCGTCAATAATAGCTAAGTTTCATGGTGTTTATATTTTACATTAAAACAAAGTTTGCTTTACATTAAAAAAAAAATTTATAACGATAAGTTTATACACTATAGTTATTTGTTTTAACTTGTGTGAAGTTTGACTTGAACTTTAATGTTTGACTTTATCAAGTTAGATTTTAAAAAAAAGCTTGAGCAAAATGGTAAACGAAACTTGAAAACTTCGAGTTCGCACAAAAAGGCATTTAATAATTGGTTGAAACGGAAAAAAAAACTTCACTACGATAAGCTGAAGATTGTTTGAAGAAAGAAAAAAAATTTATAATAACACAAACTAATTATTAATTTTTAAATTAGATTTTTGAGTTTTAAACTTTAAAGTGTTGGGTTGCAAAAATAAGTTAAGAGGTTATACAAAAACGATAAATTTATCTTAAGTATTTTATTTTTATTAAACTCAGTATTTAAAAAAAAAAACAACAACATTGGATTTAAATGAAAATGCTTTTGTAACCTTTTATTTGGTCTGAGGCACTAATTACGACGTAATATCTGCTTAACATTCAGGTGGCACATATGCTCTGCGGTTATCAGCAAAGTATTTATGATGATTACAAGGTTTTATATTTCATTTTAATGTGAAATTTTTTAAGTAAAAAGAAATTTAAACAAGGCTTTAAGCAAACACTAATTACATTTGAAGTAAGCAGCAAGTTAAATAAAAATTATGACAAAAATTTCCAATGCCAAGGCTGAATATAATATTTATAAAGATAGAGAATAAAATCAGTAGAAGGAAATGGTTAAAACAAATGAGATTGTATCTAATGTACGTTGGAACCTATTTTTGTTATAACAGTCAACAAGTCATCAAAAGAATGATAAGATCAAAAATTGTATAGATCTTGGGCGGATCCAGCATTTTGTGGTCTTTAAGATAGCTAACCTCCAAAAACGGATCATCTCCAAACAACTATATGTTTAAGCTTGTGTCAAAGTAAAATTCTTTGCAGAAAGTTGTCTCTCATTTTGAGCTGCTTTGTTTTATTGGCGTAACAAAAAGAGTTTGGCCGTTTGGTTCAATATATGAACGAAAGAAAAACCTTTTATTAAGTTTATAATTTAATCAATCAATTTTGGCTAAATAAATCTATTAAGTTCTCAAATTTGAGTAAAAAAGTGAAAAAGATGACTGATAAAACTAAGTTAATGTAAGTCTAATATCGTACAAGAAACAATATTTTGCAAATATTACTACAAAATCATTTAATTCTATTATAAAAATGTAAAGAATACATTTTTGGAACAAAGGTTACTAAATTTTCAAAAAACTTTAAAGTTATAATTACATACATATTAGTAGAAAACCAACTTAACTTTCTTTCTTGCTCTATTTTTATAGCGTTTTACAGTATCAATATCCCGATGGGCATTTGTTTTTAAAAGTTACGATCTAAATTTATTTTAAATGTCTTTTAAACGTCTTTTAAACATTAATGTTTAAAAGACGTTTAAAACACATTTAAAACACATTTAGAACGTAACTTTTAAAAACAAATGCCCGTCGGGATTATTTTATATCAAATGACCAAATTAGTCACTAAAGCTTATAATTGATTTAGGGTCTTTTGATATTATCAAAAATCTTGAAGTACAATAAAAGCCAAAAACATTACAAACGTATTATGACATTAAAATAAAAAATTACAAAAATTATTGAAAATTATTCGTATTAAAAGTTTAATTTTGATAAACACAATTTGAAGGGTTTTTTTATTAATATATTTTTATGTTTTTGAATGTTATTTTTATTTGACAAAATAATACTTTTTTTTCATATTTAGTTCTTAATTTACTTCATTAAAAAAAAGATTTTCTTTATTGATAGTTTTTGATTTTTTTTGTTTTTATTATTTGATGAATTAAAAAGAATCGCTTCACTATTATAAATCTTTCAACAAAACCTTTTGTAAATACTTTGTAACCATTTCCTATATTAAAATTTTTCACTTAATTGTAATTTAAAAATCGTTTTGTTAAAAAGCAATTCTGTAAAGTAAAGCAAGATATAATACTGTCTATAAAAAAAAATTTGTTTCATTTTAAAAAGAATGTTGCAAAACAGTTTCAAAACAATATTTTACTGTCACACCTGTGTTAAATATATGGGATGTTTTCCCTAATAACATAGACGCGCTGATGAGATTCTAAAACCTATTTAATGCTAAGTTGGTAAAATCTCGTGATCCCTAAACACATATAGTCCACTAAATACAAGCAGAAAATTTTTTATTTAAAGGACCTTTAGTTACTTGGCTGTTCAAAAACACATATTTTTTTCTGTTTTGATACAATCATTAATGGTTGATTCATATTCAGGTAACAAACTAAAACTAAGATACCAACTCTAACAGATATTAAATATAAGGAATTACCTATAGAAATGATATGTTCTTTTTTTTTTCAGTAAACAAGATTTTATTAAATCTTCTAACACATGAATATTTTTTAGTAGTTTCAAATATTTTCTAATTTTAAATTAAAAACCATGCATCTTTAAATTGACAACCATGCAGTTTAGGCCTATGAAAACCTATAATTTGGTCTCACTGGTTTGCCGATAAAGAAGCATCCATAAATTGCAAATATTTTTTAAGATTATCATAAATTCTGTTTGTATTTCCAAAAAGAAGATAAATATCCATTGGAGTAAGTATTTTAATAACTTTTACGTCTGCAGGCAGATTGACTAGAAGAACATAAACGCAATTAATATAAGGTGCAGCTAAAAGCTTAGATTTTTTGTAAATCTTTACAGACGGCTTTGTAAGCATTAGCATGTAATTTTTTGAAATTTTCCTATCCGTTAATACTGTCTTAACAAATTCTTTAATGTTTTTACAATAAAACTAAAATAATTACAATTAAAACTTTTGTATAAATTTATTAAAACTTTTCTTTTAAATACGCCTATTATTAGATTTTTAAATACGTGATTTGAATTTAAATGAAAAAAAAAACTTGGTCAATTTTTATCGAAAACTGAAGAAAAGTGTTTGTTTAGCCGTTTTGTAATTTGCCGTTGGTCGAAAGTAACTTTGCCGGATTCGAGTTTTATTGATTCGATTTTAGATTTTCTTTTATTTTGAGTAATTAAGTATAAGTACAGAAGTTTCGGATTAGACTTGCATTTGGATAAGAGATCTATTGCATCATTATGTATATATATTTATATATATATATATATATATATATATATATATATATATATATATATATATATATATATATATATATATATATATATATTTAATATGTATATGCACAACGGCTTTAAATTGAGAAAAGGTGGTGCTTTGTTCCAATTTGTTTTTTTTAAATAGAAAGTACTTTTTATGAAATCTTTTTTTACCAACTTTATTTAAAATTATTCTATATTTATCATTATATATATATATATATATATATATATATATATATATATATATATATATATATATATATATATATATATATATATATATATATATATACATATATATATATATATATATATATATATATATATATATATATATATATATATATATATATATATATATATACATATATATAAAAATATATATATATATATATAAACATGCATATATATATTTAATATGTATATGCACAACGGCTTTAAATTGAGAAAAGGTGGTGCTTTGTTCCAATTTGTGTTTTTTTAAATAGAAAGTACTTTTTAAGAAGTCTTTTTTGACCAACTTTATTTAAAATTAATATATATTCCGTGTTTGTTAATTTTAAAAATATTTATTGTAAAGAGTTTGAGTTTTTTTGCAAACTTGTGCAAGTGTTTTCTTTGTTGTTGGTAAAACTAGAAAAGGCTAGAACTTAAAAACATAGTAGAAGAATTTTATTTTTTCATTTGTGTTTGCAAGCTGTTTCAGAAGCTAAATCAAAAAAACAGACTAATAAAAAATCTCCAAAAAAACACTTATGAAAAGCAGTACAGTTTGAAATTCTCATAAAGACAATAATTTAAAGTTTTGTATACTTTACGCTAAAGATTTAGTGTAAAGTATACAAAACATAATCGTTATTTTGTAAAATTAAGAACGCATGAAGAACATGAGTTCTTGTAGAATAAATATTTTGAACCTGATTCTAATGATGAAAAGAAATGCTAATACAAGATCTCCTATTTACGTGGCTAAAGAATGAAAAACTATTTATCTTTAGATGTTATTTGCTATATATATATATATATATATATATATATATATATATATATATATATATATATATATATATATATATATATATATACATATATATATATATATATATATATATATATATATATATATATATATATATATATATATATTTTAGTATATATATATATATATATATATAGTATATATATATATATATATATATATATATATATATATATATATATATATATATATATATATATATTTATATATATATATATATATATATATATATATATATATATATATATATATATATATATATATATATATATATATATATATATATATATATATATATATATATATTATGTATATATATTTTAGTGACAAATATATGTTTGTATAAAACTAACATAAGTTAACTATATTTAAAACTAGTTTTACTTGCTAAGAGTTGAAAAAACAAAAATCTGACCTACCTCCCCTAGATAAAAAAATCAGGAGGTTATTAATTTTACATAGCCAGAGCTCCTGGAAATCAAAGTTTTTTTAAATGAAATTTGAAATCTGTTAATTATTTTTGATTTAGTTTACGCCATAATAAATTTTCTTTTCAAAAACACAGTTAACTGTTG